CCCCAAAACCCCAAAACCCCAAAACCCCAAAACCCCTGAAACTTAAAGTAATTGTAGGCTTAAATGTTATAATTGTTTGTTTTTCATAATGGGTGGAACTTTTAGTAAAAAGAAACATACTCCAAAGAATAGAGTGCCAAAGAAGACTGGCAAGACCGAAGCTTATTATCAAAAACTTTCAGTCTTAAGAAATTTCAAGGCTTCTTGAGAATACTTTAAGCTAAATATTAGCGCACAAAAGAAAATACTGAATCTTTATCAGGACCAAAATTCGAATGTTTGATGAGCAAGAATCAGTCAGATCAACAACCAACTTGTCTCACTTCAACAAGAATTAGAGGCTTATGATCCAGGGAAGGTGAGGATTGATGATATCACATACAAGGAGCGTTATGTAGACCTTGTGAAGAAAATCAGCAAGGTTTTAGAACAATCTCAGCAGATTTTACAGGCAAAAGAAGAGGCAAGGGTAGACACCGAATCCGATGATCCTAATAATAAGACAAGCAAAGCTAAGCTGGAATCTGTAATCCCCCAGGAGATGCTGATCAATCAGAAGTCTGAAGATATTAACTTTACAGTGTTTACAAATCTCTATACGGAATTTAGCAACAGAACATGGAATAAAGAACTCAGTAATGAATTGGAACTCAATTTAGAAGGAATACTCTGGTGATACTTTATGAAGAGGCTCAAGACTTTGACTCTTCCCAATCTATTGCAGTTTTAACAGTTGGATAGGGGCTTGTGGACTGCTGTTCTCTTGGGTATTATCAAAACTATAGTCGTAATCCACCTTACTTGTTTGTAATAAAAATAGTTTATCTAATCTACAATAGATGGGCTGTGTTTGAAAAATATATCCTCTTAGTGATCTTCCATTACTAAGAAAATTCTTGATTACTTCCTTTTCAAGAAAAGTTGATAGCTTACAGATGCTCTTTGTTGATAAGAAATCTGGGAGAATTGTCAAGTTCATACGTGACATCCTAAATGCTACTTATAAGATATAGGCCAGAGTTTAATCCAGCCTTTCCTTGAAAGTCGTCTGGGAGGCGAAGTTGTGCATCGTCAAGTATTGAAATAAATTCAACAATGAGAATTTACAGTAAAATCATCGGTGACTTTACGGAGGTGAACTATTCCCCAGCCTTCACTAATGAGACTGTTCAATGGTATATGAAATATGCAGGAAGTACTCTTTAGTCGGTGTGACATTTTTGTACAAAGTGTGCCGAACTTTGCCCATGCGCTGGATGGAAGTACTCTTAATTCAATGACATTAGGAAACTGTCGAATAACAGGAAATACCTCACAAGAAAATGAGGCAGATGGCTTTAAAAACTTGATACTCGGGCTTTCCAAGTCAGTAGAGTTTAGGAACTCTCTTCAAAAGCTCATACTAAATTTAGGCTTTTACAAAAAAGCTACTGGAAATATCCTGGAAGAAAACGGGTTTAGACAAGCCCAGGTTATCCTAATGTAAAATGTTGAACTGCATGCTTCACTCTTGATATCTATCGTGACTTGATTGCTAAATCTCAGTTAAATGAGTTGAGATAAATTCAGGCCAAGAGTGCTCTTCATGATGGATAACCACTAAATCTTTGCTGTGAAGTCCATTATATTTTCTATCAACTTCTGGAGATTGAACTATTTTACGAATTTAAGTTCTTAAAATTACATTTAAAGCATTTATTATTTTAGATCCTAGAAAAGCATTCAATGATGAAATTAACTCTCGGGGTTTTGGGGTTTTGGGGTTTTGGGGTTTTGGGG